TCTGTGGTAACCATTCTGTATATAGCACTATGCTTCTTCACTATCCAGGTTGGAAGACAGGTTCTTCAAGGATGAGTCTATGGTAGTATTGATGGCTACGAAACAAGATGTCGCGAGCTAATCTCATCTCGAAACATACCTACATACAAGACACGGCAATACAGGGAGTTAATTTAGAGTCCTACTCGAGAAAATATTAAAATTTGCAGAGAGTCATCTGTGCACATGGTCACCTGGAAGAAAATAAAGGAAAACATTGGGCATAAATTTCCTGAATATGGAAAGTACCGGATGAATTTAAGTGGAAAGTAGGCGTGACACAAGACCATTTTCCATTCAAGCGAGATATACACCATTCAAGGGACGGGAGCGCAATAAACATTGAGATCTATACAGGTATGTAGGATTGAAGCTCATAGCCAAAACTCTTATTTAAATAAGTCTACTATATAGATTGCCATGCATTACTGAGTTAGCTCAGTCATCCGTGATCACCTGTCGGTAAGGAGCCATGCATACTAACAGTATACAGACCTAGCGTATCCTAAAGAAAGGGGGATCAGGATAGTATTTTCTCGCTTAGGGCTACTCCAAAAGCAGTAAAATAGAAATGTAGATATCGGGGATAGAAGCATAACCCCATGCGCGTACCCTTATCCATGTGATATACGACAAACGCAGCCTAGCAACTAGAGTACCCGAAGTTTGTTCACGACCACGCACATCTAGCCTGTATTTCACCCCCGTGATCGGTTAGATCACACCCTTAGCTGATTTTCAAAAGTTCTAGTTGGGCGGGTTTCCTATTCCGGTGTTCTGGTTTATTTTTGGGGGGTAACCCTAAATGTGGTATCCAATCTAGGATGAGATGGGTGGCACTTAACTGGAGTAAGAATATACGTTTATATAGTAAGTGCGGAAGAACAGAAAATACCTTGAGAATGCCGCCTGGTGGGAACTCAGAAGTCTTGGGGAGCTGTGGGCGAAAGTGAGCCTTCTTGTTCCAACGCTTTTAATTGCTTTATATTACTCTTCTTTGCCTAGAGGCCTTTTATAATAGGCGGGCCTTATATAAAAAATATAGAAAGTAACCCGAGCTTTTGGGGTGTTAGGCCATATGTGTTACGGGACTCAGAATGTTGCTAAACCATATTGACAGAGAGTTTATTGTGTCCAATTCAGGGACGCGTACAATTCAGAGACATTCCTTAAATATACTCATACTCTCAGGAATAAATACCTGTACCGGAGTCAACTCCTGGGCCATTTAATGTCAATAACCTGCTTAGGAAGCTTGCGATTAAAGGGTTGGATCCTTTTACTGATATTGCGAGTTGCCAAAATTAGCCGGACACTGCGTTACAACCAAACTTAGTATGGGATGCAACTTCAAAATCGCCTTGCAACATGACTACACCTAGAGAAGTGAAGAGGTGTTATATCTGTGAGCTCTATGCTTGTATTATCTCGGGTTTTTAATACGGGCTCAATCGCAGGTATTTGAAAACATAGCTATTGTGGCTATTTGGTTTGGGTGGTTGTAGCAGAGGGTCCGGTTAATTTTGGCAAGCGCAATACAAGGAGAGCTAGAGAGGATATACAGGTACCAGATATCCGTTTGTGTAACTTAAGCATTGACTATATAATCAGGGTTGTAACTTGAATAGTGACTCAAATTGTTATATCCGAGAGTTAATTTCTCCCATATCGTACAGAAAGTAGTTGATTGATTGATTGATTTAATGCATTAATTGACAGAAAGTGGTTGAGAGACCAACAATGAACAGCTTTTTATTTATTTTGGTATGTCAGATATTGTCATAGCCTCCGGGCTGCCTATAATTAATGAATTATCAATCAAGCAAGCAATCAACAGCTTTGTATTTTCCTATATCTCTTGCACCCACGTTCTGATTATGAGGGTTAGGGTTGGGATTATACTTCCAATTAAGAAGATTTCAGTAGTACTACTTAGACGTCTGGATAAACTTTATGTCCCAGCATTCCCTAAATCGACCCTGTCATATGAGAGGCCAAGGACTAAGGGATCCCTGAAAGACCGCTGAGCTTCAGAAAAAACGCATAGCCACAGTCTTGGCGCCCAGGATCGATAAAGAATCAACATTTAGCATTTAGCCCTGGGATGATCGGGATTACAGTGCTCTAGTACGATTGGTAGTTGTGGAGCCAGTGATTGGCCGTCTGGAAACTTCCCTGTAGGGACGAAAAGTAGATTAGTAAAGGAAGTCATGATCCGTCAGTCGGATGGACCGGGAGGTGGTTGCAGAGGGCTATTGTCGGACAAGAATCTCTGTGTAAACCTATGCGATCTATTGGATACCAGAGGTCGTGATCTTTATATGATACTACCTATATAATGACTTCTTACATCACTACATAAATTCCCCTATCGTCCATGAGATAAACATACCCCATCCCCATACCTACCTTGGGGCTTTTCTCTCTTCAATACAGCAGCACATAGCTAGGCACATCCGGTATATATCCATCGCTCTTGTTTGATATTCCCTACCAGCTCTTACCTGCAGCCAGTAATATTTTGTTCGATCGCCGGAGTAGTCTGGGGGAGAAAACATTCGAGCAAAGCGGAAATACCCTCGGTTTCAGGAAGGAGTTTTAATGGAGAGATGAAGGCGATCGGTTCTACTAGAGATTTACTTATCGATCAGCTAAGAGAATCTCGTTGCCATTTTATCACGTAGCACAATGGAATGGAGGGAGGCGTACGGAGATAGTCATGGATCATCACTCGATCCTGTGAAAAGAACACAAAGGAGCAATAGACCCCTCATGCCCCTTGGTACCGAACCCAAAGCCTTATCCTCCCAAACAGAGTTCTCCACGAACTAAAGCGGGAGATCTGAAAAGTCTCTCTCGACCCCTCGGACAGCGCTCAAGAATCGATAGAAGCCCTCTTCTACAAAGCGGCAGACGGAACCAACAAACCGACTAAACGTAAAAAAAAAGGCTCCTCCTGATCCCCAGACTAACGCCCGAGGACCAGAAGCGGCCTTTCCATAACATTATCTCTCCGTCCCACCTCCCCTCCCCGAAGAGGGAGGCACCATGAAGGTGCCCCAACGCAAAAAAGGCCCCTCCTGATCCCTGCCGTAGCGGAGACCAAGAGAGGCCTTTTCACTTTCACTTTCTCCCCGCGAGGAGGGGGCAGGGGCGTGGGCCACCGAAGTGGTGGCCTAACGTGACCCGTGCCCCTCTCGGCCCTCGCTCCAGGCGCAGCGGGGACCAAGAGAGGTGATTTTTGCCCTCCCTTTCCGGAGGGAGTAGGTGAGGAAAGCAGGAGGGGCGAGCTGGAGTGGAGTTAGCAACGCCCGTTGTCTCTCTGGCAACGTGCTCAGAGAGATCAGGGGGTGAGTAGCCCCACTGCTCTTTTACGCCTCCCCATCTCTCTCCCATTCTCAGAGAAGAGGTTGGGGGGTGGCGGGGGAGGGTGGAGGCAGCTCTCTAAAGAAAGAAAATGTTTGGGGGGGGGAGGAGGAGAGAAGGCTCATATAGCTATTCGTGTTTGATGCCGAGCCCAGATCTTCGCCGGCTGTTCTTTTGAAGTAGTTAGGGCTAGGTTGCAATTGTATATTGTTGGGGGCACTTTGGTGCATGATTGGTAAACCCCGGAGTATACTACGTCCCGCGACATGTACTATGTGACCAACGTCATGTCAGGGCACACCTTAATTCAGCAGACACTGGGCCGCATGCATGTTGCGCGGTGTGGGCTGTCTTCTGTATTCGCTAGAGCCTACTGTAGAATCCACGAATAGAAGCAACCAAACTGATCGAACGTAACGATGAACCAAACCAACGATGATAGTATTATGAGAGAGGCGATGACCAGGAGACAAAGAGAGATTGAAACTAGAGTAGTCGTGCCCTATTGACATTACATGTCCATGCTCGCCTCATCCGCCTGGTTGCCACCTATGCGCTTAGTCGCTTATCTAGTGTTGTCTTTTCTGCTTGGTGATGCGCCATGCGCCATGTGCCACAGCGGGTGATAACCGATAATATTATTTTTCTGTTTTTTTTATACTTGTAAATCTTCTTTTCTAGATTACACTCATCTGCTAAACCCACTGCTCAGAAACTGTTTGAGTGTAAACGAAACTTTCCACCCGCACCGTGCTCCACCCTCCAGACACCCCCCCCCCCCCTTTCAAAGCACTATACCCCCAGCCCACCACCCCTAAGCACACTGCGGGCCACGAAACAACGCACACACCACAACGACCATACAGAACGGAGTAAAAACCGCGAGAGCGGTTTCCACGATGAGGGGCAGAAACAGAAACAGATGAAACGCCCCAACGAGCATTATCAGGGATGCCATGCTGTTGGGTAGCTGGGGTTTGCTGTCGCCTAGGGCTGATCTGGGTGTGGGCCTGGGTGTGCGGGTGTTTCCGTGGCTTTGGGTGCTGGGAGGTTCTCCATGGCTTTCGTTGTTTGCAGATATGGAATGAATGGCGGCGGGGGCGGGGGATATTTATACCCCCGAAAAGGTGCCAAGAAATGGTCTAGCCTGGCATAAGTACATATAGCCGCGGGAGACGGTCCTTGGGGAACGCAAAGTCCGTGAGATAAAACACCACGCAATATACAACTCCAACCCGGAGATTTAACACCCAGGCACGAAAGTCCGAAATCACATAGAGAGAACCGAGTGATAATGTATGAAGGAATATATTCAGTGAGTAATGCAAGAAATGTCTATACTCGTTTCCCCTACCAGAGGGCATCCGGTCTCTTTTTGGCCATATCCATCTCGAGACTCTGTACTTTGTTTACTACCTCTACGACACGAGCTGAGACCCTTTTACCTACACATCCTTTTACCCGATACGAACAAAAACCGCACATCAAAAAAGAAGAGAACGTAGTCACAATATCCAATATATGGAATTGCTTCCACACCTATAGCAGAGGATCCCACGCACCTCCATCCTTCCCTGCAGAGCTAGACAATCGATCTAGATATCGTCTGCCCAGCCCTCATGCTCATACCCCTTGATAATCTCAATCGAGCGCTTAATCACGAGCTGTCACTCACCCCTACTATCAGCCCTTGCCTCAAAAACACCCATAGCAGAAAGAAAAGTCAAGAAAGGAGGCAAACCTTCGCGGCCACCACCGCCCTCATGGCCGGAAACACACCCTCCACGTCCTCGAACCTGCTTGGCACGGGGTGCACCGGCCCCGTACGCAGCAGACACACATTCCTGCTCACGAAGCTCATCCGGAGAATCTGCACGGAGGAACCTTCACCCCTCATCAGCACCCCCGACATCCCCCCACCCCAAACGCCAGGGGGAGAAACTAACCGACACAATGCACGCCCACGGTCTCCAGCCCCCTCGCCACCTCCCAGCGCCCGCCCACCTCGGCCGCAAGGCCGTGCAGCATGGCATGCAGGATGTGCACGAGCTTGAGCTTGTCGGTGTGGCGCTTTGTGCCTAGCGTGTTGCGGCCGACCTCGACGGCGCCGTATTCGCGCGCGCCTTGGCCGGACTGGTGTTGCAGCAGGATGCCGTCGAAGCGGAAGTGCGGGGCGGCGCGGGACATGATTTCTTTGCTGCGGGCGAGGGTTAGTGGAGTGAGGAGGAGGAGGGGGAGGAGGGGGATAGAGACGGAGGGGAGGGGAAGGGGAGAATTCAAGAGGGAGAGAGGAAGTACCGCGAGAGAGAGACGCCGTGCAGGTCCTTGAAGCAGTAGTCGATCAGCGGGGCCCAGATGTTGGCATCAAACCAGCCCTCGTTCGGCTCCGGCGCAAAGCTGCACATCCCCGCCAGATGCTCCATATTGCCCAATCTTCTCCCCCTCATCCCATCAGCAAAAGCCTCTCCTTCACAAGAAGAGAGTTGACACTCACACAGCCCCCACCGCATGGTTAACATACGTCGCATTAAAATTGACCCCCCGCTCATACCGCACCCCCGGCGGCCGCGGCGGCGTCTCCGACACAACCCGGTACCACTCTGCGTCGCCCCTCCCCTCCGTGTACCGCGCACACGCATACTCGAACGCCGTGTCCTGCTCCGGTGGCCGCGGCGCCAGCGCCGATATCGCCTTCATCTCTGCGGTGGTGAACAGCGCAGCGGTCGCCGCGTCGTCGCGGTCGATGATGCCGTGCGTGAGCAGCACCGAGGGGGCGGCAGTCTGCTGCAGGTGGCTGTGGAGGGCGTCTTCGAGGACTTTGACGGCGGTGAGGCGCGCCTTGTGCGTCATTGTGGGGAAGCGCTGGAGGAAGGTACCGGGCGCGGTGATGTCGGTGGGGATGAGTGTCTGCGGCGGTTAGAAGAGTGCGGGGCGCGGGGAGAGGCCTAGGGGCTTACCGGCAGGCGGTCGTCGTCGGTGTCCGGCTCCGGGTCGGGTCCAGCTTCAGCTTCAGCGGCGGGCGCAGCGGGCGCAACAGGCGCGGGCGCGGGCACTGTGCCGGCAATGTTCGCAACACTCGAGTTGATGATGTCGCCGTGCACGACGATGCTGTTTGTCGCCGTGTAGCGCGGGAGCTTGTCCTTCTATCATTACCCCCGCAGCCCGTCAGCCAGCCAGCTCCGCACCTCCGCACCTCCGCGCCCCCCGGCCCCAGCACCGGACCCGGCAGATACATCAAAAGAGCAGGCACATACCCTCCCGCGCCCCCTCCACTCCTCCTGCACAGCCCTCGCCCGCTCCCTCCTCTCCTTGCCTCTCTCCCGCCCCCCTTCATTCTCCCCTTCCTCTTCCCCCTCCTCCGCAGACAGGATATTCTTCAGCTCCGTCAGCCAGTAGTTCACCATCGCCGGCGTCTTCTTCGCCGCAAAGTGCGCGTGCGTCTTGCAGTGCGCCGTGAACGCCCCGAGGCTCCAGGCGGCCGGCGGCGTGGCGCTGAAGTAGGCGCTGATGTGCCGCGAGATCTGCGCGGGCGTGTAGCCGGTGCTAGGCCCGGGCGCTTTGGCGGCGCGGGGGCGGGGGGCGCGGGGCATTGCGGCGTGCGGGTGCGGTGCGGGTGCGGTGAGGGTTCCCGGTGTTGGGCCGGGTGGTGCGGGTTTTGAGGGTGTTGCGGGCGGGTGTCGAGTGCTGTGCCGGTGCTGCGGTGCTGCGGTGCTGCGGTGCTGCGGTGCCGGAGATCGGGGCGCGGGAGACGCGTCGAGTGCGACGCGTTGGCATGGCCTCCGGGTGCCGCGACTGGCTAAACCTGGGCCTGACCCTAACCCTGCTGTTGGGGTAGTGATCGGAGTGACATGTCGACTGCCTCAAGGAACAAGTGGAGGAGGAATGCGGAGAAGACCCGGAATGTAGGCTGTGGATAGCTCCCACCCACCGCGCTGTATTTGCGGAATGACCGTATTGCCTTTTAGCTCACCCGCAGCTGGTATCAAGCAGAGATATCGATGTCGCATCAGCTCTGGTCTGGCCTTCCCTTGAAGTCTACTCTTATCCCAGGAGAGGCTCGATCGTAGACCGGTATCAAATGCGCCATCTTGGGATAACCTCCAAATAGTATGGTTCCTGGGCTTGTATATTCCACTAGCTATCCCCTCTGGTCCGTAACGGGCGGTACTCCGCGATTGTATCGATATCGGCATCTCGGAATGAATTAGTCATACAAGTATATATATCATGCCGACAATACAATACTGACGTGAAGTTAGGAAGATTTACAATGTTAGAGTGTATTTGTGGATTGAATAGCAGTGCCTGACCATGTCGAGTCATACGCACCTCTCCATCACCGCCACTTTCTCATGTGGATTGAAACATGTGTTGGAGTTAGCCACCCCAGCTAACCATGTCCGCTCAAAGTCCCAAGCTCGAATCCCAAACTGGCGTCCCTCTTTCCAGTGGTTTAGAGAGTGCTGACGTGTGTACGGGATCCCAGGGGAGAAAGAGGCACTGTATCTGTTTCTATATATCGAGAGGGAGAGTCGAGTAGGGGGGAAAGGGACTGCAAAGGCAGCGCAGCACCATAAGCACGGAAGAGAGCTCCGGTTCAAAGATCATCGTCAGGTGTCGAGTACAAACTGTTGAAAAGCCGGATATTGTGAGGGTGACAGGATATTGGAGTCCGCTGTGACGCGCTGATGGCATTTAGTACTTCGGATCTGGGTGTTTGGGGGGGGGGGGGATTGTGGGTCTGGTTTGCTTGGGATTGACCCCGAGATATCTACTGAGAAGTCGAGTGAGAAACTGTGAGCCAAGACACCAACAAATAGCTACATTACCGCCTTTACCCCATAAGTTATAAGCCTTATTTTGAGCTCTAAGACGCAGAAAAGCCTTAAATAAGGCATATGTCTCAAAAAAGCAAAAAAATAAGCCTGTTTTGGGCGAAAGCATGACATTTTGCTCAGCATTATCTCTAAATCAAGCTCTTCTAAGACCTCTTCTGGTATTAGATTTATCGAATAAATAAGAATTAGTAAACTTCGTCAGGATTATAGGCATTTACGGGTGCTAAGGCTGGGTTAGGGTTAGGCACTTGGCAAATATTAAACCGTGTTCTTCCATCTGTTCTATAATACCCTCCCCTCTACCTCTTTACCATCTCCGCCCCCTCTACTCTCCTAGCACCACCCCCCCCCCCCCCAATCTCCTAATCATCAAAAACATAGGCTAATCAGCGAATTTAGCAGCAGCAGCAGCACCGAACCAAGCACCAAATCGAGCATCAAATAGAGCACCAAATCGAGCATCAAATCGAGCACCAAATACAGCACCGAATGCAGCACCAAATCGAGCACCAAATCCACATAATTGAGCGAAATAGGTCGATAGACAGGTAGGAAGGTAGGCAGGTGGGTTAAATAGATTGTCTTAAATCAATGTACATATTAAATTCAGTATTAATAAAAACTTGATTTCCGAAATTCACTATGGCGAATAAGTGTAAAAGCATACCTATCAGGCTATCATGCTGATCTCACGAATAAACATTATTCAGCCTTATTTTTCGAAAATACCCCTCTAGGCGGTAAAGTAGTGCTGGATGTATTGAACGGCTACGAAAAGAAGGTTTAGACGCTGCTTCGCGTAGATGCTTGGCTGATTGCTAAATGGATTGCTCAGGGCAGTGATGGAATCTCTTGCTGTATCTGATTCTCATCGATATCCAAAGGCATTTCAGAGGAATCGAGTGATATGCTGTGACTGGTATTCAGGGCTGTTGGGAGGTGGATTATAAAAGGGGATTGAAGGGGGGTATCTCTAATGGTAGAATCGCTAATAGCGAAAGGTATCGCGAATTGTATGTCCCGGTTGGTCTGGCCATAAAAGAAGTCCGGGAACCTGCTGGGCCTAGTCGAATTTCGAAAGAAGTGTTAGTATTTGGCAGCGAAGACAGAAGTGGTGGGGCGAGATAGGAAGGGGGCTCATGGGTGATCGTGAGGGGCTCGTGGTGGATCGAACATGTACCATAGTTAGACCTCCCTGTCTTCTCTCTCTCCAGTCTCCTCTGTTCTTGTCATCAACTCTTGGTCGTACTTTCATCAACGTCCATCAATAAAAGTATCAATTCTCAACAAGAAGTACAGGCAGCTTATAGCCTATAATACTGCCGGGAACCTCTTTTGAAGAAATAGAGAAAAGGGGCATGGTTAAGCGAGACTCTTTGTAAATAGTCAGGTTTATTATGCCGGGTTCGTATGTACATGTAGCTAATAGAATGGCAACCCCTGGAACCTTCCATATGCATGCGATAAAGAAATCAATATATATATGTCCGTTACTACTACCTGCGCTTTCCCTGCAGAAGAGATTGTAGAAACCTGAGGTCGTCGAAGTGTACCCGTCTCCTAGTGGTAGTACTGGCACGATCCCCAGCATAATATACAGATTTGAAGCAAAAAGATAAACATCATGAAGCCAAATGACAATCCAAATCCAACTCGAGAACACATCTATAGCTCTACCAATTGCAGGGGGGAAAATGAGTTTATAACAAAACAAAATGCAGAAAGATACGCATGGGGTATGTGAGGCAAGATATCAAAGATGAGGCCAGTAATCGCTCCACCGGGGGGTCTTGAATACTCCCGGCGGAGGATCCCGCATGCTGATGTAGGATTCCACCACGATGTATGTCGTGCAGAGAGCGTAGCAGAGGAGCGAAAGAAGACAAAGATAAACGAGTGCATAATGCATGAGAACAGCAAGCCATAGTATATGTTAGTGAGAAGAGGCCGTCCAGAACCAACGTCTGATCCGGACGCCTTCCTTGCATGCCTGGTGCAGATACCGTGAATATGTTTCATCCCAAACCACAAGAGGGCGCGGTGCGTCAAACCCCCGAAATGGACCTCCCACAAGATAGGAAATAGATCGCGCTCGTATCTGGTGAAGGACGCAATGAAGACGACGATAGACGGGAAGAGGATCATTCCGAAAGAGCAACCTTTCCACAAAAGCGATTCAATCGCAGACGGAAAATAGACATTCCATGCAAGCAGGTGAAGCCCTCCAACAGAGACCACGAGACTCCCCTCAACCACCATACCAACAACGCCGTATAGTGCCATTTGCTTTTTTATCTCTGCCGATGTCTCTTGGATGCCTTCAGAATAGGTGTAGGTGACGAGACCGAAGAAGGCCTTTGACTTGATGGCGATATTTTCTGGGCATGTCACCTTTGTTACTAGATGGTTCAACCTAGTATAGTTCTTGCTCTTGTCGACCTGTTCTTGCAGCACAGCTGCTTGTCTAACTAAGGTCGGGTGGGTTTGGTGGCGAATTCGGTTCAATAAGAGCTTGGGCGGGGCTGAATTCCGCATTAATCTCGTTTCCTGAGTCTGGATCATGATGGTCGGGGGATAGCTTTTCCAAGGTAATCTTGACAGGCTCGTCAACGTCCAGAGGCTTGTACCACCAGAAAATGTAGATGAATGTTGTGCAGAACACCTGTATGAGTACATGAACCTCCAAGAGAGTCACCGAAAGGTGAGCTCCCCAGCGTGCCAAAAACTGCACGATCAACCACAACGCCTGACCATAGGCCAATAACTTTGCAATATTATTTACCTTACCTTTATCTCTGATCTCGGCCACGTCGAAGGACTTCTCGTTGATGTAATCGTTTTTGAGATAGTGCAGGAAGCCAGCAGGGGTTAGAATTGCCGTATATGTACCCGGCGTCAATTGCAAGCTTTCGTATTCTTCCTGTTTTTGATTGGGTATGGGGTATTCGATGGTGTCCGTAAGAAAGCCTCCCATGACAATAAAGAAAGCTTCGTTCATGCCTAGTTTATTCCGAATATCTTTGTGCTTCCCCGCCATCTTAATTCTCTTCCCACGCCTTCTTGAGCATTCTTGCCTCAAAGAACTAGCCAAATGCACAAACCAGCAGTCCCTCCGGAACGATAACAGAGAGGACCATTAGCACACATTTATACCATAGTCGAGCGCCCGGGGTTGCTTGACGTTGATATTCGGATGTACAGCGGTCCAAACACAGAATATATATGTGGCCGTGCAGCTGAAGCTAATACCAACTGTTCCTCGCCCGGTAGGCTCCGCGTGGGATCTGACTTTTCCTAGAGGAGTGTGGTACTCGGAGACGGTTTCATTGTAGTTTGACGGTGGTGACGGGAAAGCGAAAGCCGGGCCAAGAAGTCCCACGAACGAAAGAAGAAGACAGAGTAGTAGTGGGTGGCCGGAGATCATGCTGAGTCGTAGAGACTAGGACGGCAATCCAACTCGATAAAACAATGTTTTGGCTTAATTAAGTTCTCAAACTATACGTAACCGTCAGTTCATGCTTCTTACACATATATATACACTCTTCACGTATTTATAATTACAATCACAGTAGAGTGCAGTTATTACTATGCTTCTTGTATTGCCAGCCTCACTATTAGATGTGCAATGTTAAGAAATTATCCCGATTGAGCGTTTTGTCACAGGTGCTGAGATCAGGGAGACCTAGCTTTCTACGCTTCTTTCCCCAAACCTAACATAGCTAACCACTAGATTCTTCAAACCCGCCCGTAAAAGCCTCGACGCCCCCCCCTCCCCCAGCCTCCTCAGAGACTTACTCCCCTGAGTACCATCTTTCCGGTTGTTGTTGACTTCATCTCCCGCATTGAGCTCTCGTACCGCAATGACAAGAGATACTCGTCCCCTGTTGATGAAAAGAAAATACTCACGAGAAAGGAAAAGAAAGTAAAGAAATAAGGGAAAGAAGCAAAGTGAGACCAAGGTACAGTATTCAACCCCGGCAGCCCTCTTTCCAATCCATCCTACGATGACACGCTCAACTCCGTCAAGATCGTGCCCGGGTTCGTGGCCTTCTTGCCTTCCTGAACGGGCTCAACAAGGCGCCGCGCAACGGCTTTGGGGGGGGGGGGAAGCAAGGCAGTGATCTTAAGAGCGTGGAGGGGTTGTATCGCCGTTGGGTGAATGTTTGTCTGGACTGGCTGTGATGGAACTGGTATGCATGGTTTACAGAAAACGAGCAATCTGAAGGCCATGGAGATTCACCGCCAATTAATCCAACTCTGTGCGGTGTTGCCAGAAGCGGTCCTAACGATCATTGACCTGCCCTTGGTAAACAGAATCATCGCCAGGACTAGCTAGCTACTTAGTGCCATGTCGCGGGGAACGGAACCATACAGAAGATCTTGTCGGGTCTACATGTAGTATATATACCGAGAACGTCGGGGGCGGTCGGAGCTTTGAAGCTATCGAGCGCTGATCAATCGATCCCACCCGCGCGGCCGGCCACCCGAAATCCGCCGAGCAGACTGGACCTACTAATAATTGAACCGCAGATCCAGAATCTCCACTCCGGCTACAAGGCCAATCAATGTCACATATATCCCATGCCATCCTCCTCCTCCTCCTCCTCCACCGCTACCGTCGAACCCGACCGGAGCTTGAGACCCGGCTGGATGGGCCGGGGACGACAACGGCCGCGCTTCGTATCAGGTGCCCCGAGCTGCTCGACCGCGACATCATGGCGACGCTGGGAGGTAACACGTACGCGTGCGTGGACCGGTTCATTGCTAGTAAGTCATCTCGTGGCCGGGCGGGACGGAGGCTGGCCGGGATGCGTTTCGACCGATGGCTCGTTTCTGCGCGTTCATCGGGCGGGCGGGCGGGCGGGCGGGGAATTGCATTTGTGCGGTCGGGTTCTATGATGCAATGTCAATGCACTTGCATGGCACGTACGTACTTTGAGAGTTGGAGAGCCTCGATTGCGGCGTTGATGGCTTTGTACAGGAAAGGATTTCGGGCCGGAGTCAAGGAGGGAAGTATGTACATGTATTTACCCCGATCTCTTTTATCATTGGCCGAGGAAATACACTGTCTAAGCCCTGCAAAAACAGCTGTGGTCCATACTTGTATGCCCAGTTAATTACATGTATTCATATATGAACCCCGCATTTCGGTACCGAGTATAAGCAAAATGTCAAATACCACCAGCTCCCACAACAAGAACCCCCGAGCATGTACTAGGTTTGATTATCGCCTCTAGCCCTGGTATGATGCATCGTATATCAGGGGATATCATTGATCCACCAAGGAGCTTTGCACGCGGAAATTAAGGCTGCGTCGGTAAGTGGATCGGGAATGGGATTCGGGATGATGCCTTTCCGTCTATTCACCAGGCGTGGAGGGGGCCGGACTCTAGAGATTGTGAACAAGTAGCAAGAGCTGAGGGTAAAGGGATGTAAAGTTATCACTTGTGACAGTGCCGGGAACTGTCGCGGGGAAGACGTAAGAGAAGGATAGCGAATGATGTATTTAAAAAAGACAAAGACGTACCCGAATCAGTAGAAATACAAGTACGAAGCATATCTGTATACGTAAAGGTACAGATATTCAATGACCCCCAGTATAGAGTGTTGTATGCAAGCAGACCAAAGGTTATGTACCCGTACGCTACAAATTCTACTCGTATCATCGAGTGAGAATCTATGAGCCAAGAAACTGGGGTGGTGGTTTTAGCTCCGCGGTAAAGCTGTGACAAGATGGGCCTACAAGCCTTTGCTTTGAATATATGTTCTCACCTCTAGACCTACGATCAAGCGTCATCCAGAATGCTCAGATCCAGACTGGCAACGGATGAGCCTGTGTCGCGATGGGGCCTCGTCTGCGCAACCGAAGCAACACGAAGCCTCGCAAATCCTCATCCAACACGTCGCGACCAAAGGATCAATGCCAGGTTGATGGGAGCATAGATTTCCGAGTACAGCCTCGAGCCTCTTACGCGTGTGTTGAAGTTATTGCCATCGGTGTTCCTTTCCCTCAGTCATGACATATCACTCGACAAATGATATTGGCATTTCTGCCCACATGCACCCTATTAACCCCCCCCGCTCAAATGTCCTTAACCCAGCGTAACCCAAGTAATATCGGCTGTGTACACCTATATATCCTGTGTTAATTAACCTCACCTCTCAACTTGGTAATCGGTTTTCACCATACGCACATACAAAATACAGTACCAAAAATGGGCGGGAATTGCTATGGTAGTGTTGTATAGGAGAAGCTTCAAACACTGTAATCTACAAAGTTAATAATATGACAACAGCCTCTTGCTAACAGCACAGTCTTAGTACAATAGACTGACGGCTGCACATTCTTTTACACTGCATAATCTATCAAGTCTAGGGAATTCCTAGCAGCACAGCATTTCTGGGTATTTGGAGAATTGCTCCACCCTAACCATAGAGAATCATAGGTTCAGTATTTTATTGATGTAGGTTCTCATCAAAAAAACATTATAGAATATCAATCCGTCAATTGCACCATCAGTTTACAACTTTCCAAGATGTATCCTTCACAACTGTGATATACCTTTAAAAAAAAGATTTCCGTATTTTAAGCCCAGATATGGATATTAATCTCTTGGCTCTAAAGGAGACGCAGTTGGAATATCAATTTTTGATGATGGGAGATACAAGCCCTTGATGCTAGAAATTATGGACCTCGAGATGGTGGTGACATACCTGCTGGAAGCGATCATGGTGTGTTCATGGTATTACACCTACTGCTATTAGTAGTACAAGACCCGCTAGTTATTTAACATCTATGGAGCTAAAGCTTTAATATCTCTGCATTAAATGCCTAGTTATTGGTTTAGTAGTACTCCGGTATTGATGCAGCATTTGGTGGATAGTGGTCCGTGAGGCTGCTCGAGGCAGAGGCCTCGAGCTAGCGTCGATGCCTCGTGGACCACACGATTTGTGGACAACAGCAGTTCCAGCACTGCGTATTCACATAGGAATAACGTAGTCCCAACCAAACATATAGCCTGGACAGCCGAAATGATGCGGGAATCCCACAATACCGTTTTACAAAGTATACAGCAGTGCTATTGTGCTACTACCACGGTACTAATCCCCGCCCTGTTTTTGGTATTGTAACCTTCGCACGTTTACCTGATTTGTCGAAGCGTGGCTGGGTTTGTCACATAGAACGACACCATCAAGACACCAGGTGCAGAAGGCGTATACGGAGCTGCCTATTAAGATTCGTCCTATTCAACACTTTCCTTGATGCTACACAATAGTCTAACAGAGCTCCCACTCATCCTGATCATCCCCCTCACTCCACGTCACGTGCCCTTGCATCCACGGTGTAGCTGATCCTTCCAGCCACATAGTTCCAAACTTTCCGAGGAGATCTTCGAATCTGAACGTCCAATACCGTCCACCCAACGACGAACACATGAGGCGATTGTTGCCCTCGTTTCTGAGATGCTTTGTCGGATTGTTAAGCGTCTGGGGGGTCTCAAGCCGGACATGGTCGGACCGTATCAGCACCCTTTTATCGATCCCGAGGTTGGTGCCGACTATACGGAACTTGGTCCTCGGGCCTCCATCCGATACGGACAGCCGGCCATTGCTCCCGCCATCATACCAGTACAGGTTCGGCTGTCTGATGTTACGAACGAAGTATGTGTTCCCGTTGACCCAATCCCGCCCCGGAACCACGGGAGCAACCGCCCACTCGTGGCACGGGCCGTCGTCCGCGTGGAGGCGCATCGACATGACCCTCCCCTCAGTACTGGCCGGCAGGGGGCTACTGCACAGGACATCGACAAGCGCGTTCCACGGGATGTTGTCGGCGGTGTCGTAGATCCAGAACTGCGGTGTGCTGCGCTCAAGCTTTGTGAATCGAGGCTGTCCGCGGGCGTCTTTGAGGTCTTGGCATACGCGGAAAAATTCGTCTGCGACGTAGCGCGACTCGCAGGTGAGGAGGTGGCGGGAAAAGTAGCCGCTCCTCCCGTCGGTCCTCCTGAACCAGCGCATGTATACGTAGTAGAGGCTCATTGTGGAGGATAGAATAGGTCGATATATAGGTGTTGACTTGATGAAGATGTGGCTAGAGGATGATGCTCTAAGGTCGAACATCAGGTAAGAGCATTGGGCTTTATATATAACCACAGCGCTTTACAAGTGGTGTCGAGATAATGACATTACCCTTATCGGACCAACTGCTGATGCCTGATATTGAAGGCCGCATAAAGATATCACTATATATCTTACCTCCGGCAGCGCTTCAGCTGGTAGAAAAGGTGCATAGATCGGTGAAAATGGTAAAATCGAAATTTCACAGTTTGGAGATAGGATTTCAAAGAACTTGCTCATCCGCAGACGATTGTGGTTGACGGTCTTATTCCTGATAAGTACTATCTAGCTGAGGGTTGAGGTAAGTGAAGGCCCGCCAGGAGTTGATAATGTGAAACTCGTCAATCGATGTATGTTTACCGTTGCTTTTGCAAGCATAGTGGCATGCAGACGGCCCTAGTACAGTCCAAAAACCATATGCGGTTACGAGCATACACATAGTGTTAGGATAAAGATTAGTCGGGGTAGGTAAATAAAGTATAATTTAGGCACTCTCCCCAAAAATGAATATATATGCATTCCAATTATATTACTAGCGTTAACCTCTATATAGCAATGACACCGCACCGGGCATCAACGACCGCCATCGGGTTCAGACTTTGTTTCATCTACGGGTTAGATCTAGATAAGTGGTAAGTTACTATGAATTTGTTCTTTACAGAGCAGAAAATAGGCAAACACTAGTTATTTCTTTATCCACGTATGTATGTAAAGTAAAAGTTAGAAAAGAGCAGGGCAAAAACCACGTTTTGGGCAAAAGCATCAAATACTAAACCTAACCCAGAATTTCACCCACTAAACCTCGCGCCTTCTCCACGCAAAATCTAGGGAAAGAGAAGCTCTAAAAACTGACGTTGTCAAATATCTTTCTATCTCTCTCTGTTGGGTCGCCCCTACTGTGAAAACATGGCAATTTTCGTACGTTTCCAGAGACAAGACGTGAATTGTCCGAGTATCAGAGCTAACACAGCTACATACATACATATATTTTTTAGTATTGACTGTATATGTGCGTCACTATGTTCAGGTTTTAATGCGCATAGTGCGCAAACTTCCCGCGCGGTTCAAGTCTGATTGTGCTAGATGGTGGATGAACATCGCATAATAAGTGCTATACCCCAATCCAATTCCGGGTTTTAGTATTTAGTTTATCCTGAAAGATGCCAGTATCTTGAGCTATGATTTTTTCATTCCCGCAAGGGTGATATACGTTTCTAACCAATCGATTGGTTAGAGAATCATTGTTAGTGGGGTTCCAATCAAAACTAAAATTCGTTGAAGTACACAATTAGCATGATTATATATATAACTTTCCCAGCCCAAGGTCACATGATCACAGGTCTTGATACTTTGATGAGACTGGACCATTGCCTCGAGATTTTCAAGACTCGGTTTGAAGAATACGAGACGAGACGAGACTTTCTCAAGTCTCGTCTCGTCTCGTCTGGCGCCCATCATACACTATTTGAGTGCCTTGGCTGTCTTAAAGCTTAATAGTTGTAGCTCCTCACAAGATCCTTTCATGTAGTATCATCACTGGAAAGTACCTGCACCATGCCTCTGGATGAATGGGTCAATGAAAGTGTCATAACTGTAGAAGGATCATCCAGTGTATGATTAGCTACACCAATAGTGGCGAAATTCACGACTTTGAGCCGCTATTGTAGATACTTGACGGGTGATCATCACAGTTAATCGTTTCTCTTTGCGGTATGTACCCCACAATTAATCGCATTGAGCACATCCCGCCACTCCCGCCCCCATAACTGTCACACTTGCATGCCACGGCCTTTACTAATCGTTAGATTCTGCAGTATTACAAATTATCGTTTCAGGGAAAGTGCTCAGAGTGGGCCAACAAGAATATATAAGGGCAGAGCCAGTTACGGTAACGGTGCGTAATATTACTCAAAAAAATCCTTAAAACAGTATAATAGACAATGTCGGTAACACCCTGAGTAACTCAAGATTGAGTGTGCACTCACTGACTAGAGTGTGCCGGTAGAGGGGGAAGGCATCTATTGTTGTCACCCGCAACTCTGGTATGTGGTCTACTTTGAAGTCTCAAGAATGCAGGGTCCTAGCGGTGGCTTGGGATTTACAGAGGTAGGTAGCCGTCCGTTCCGACTTGTAGTTTACTCAACCTATGGAAAGAGTTAATATTGTGCACCGCGAGATGAAATCAGATAGATGGCCATGGCACGCACTGCGCACTCTAGTAGCCGTGGAAATGCATCAATTTTGATGTTTCCCATACAAAAAGTTGCGAGATACACATTATTTGATGCAATAACCGACCTACTGTGTGTTAAAGGCATTCCTGTCCCATTACCGACGAGTTTACTGATGCATTTACAGATGCTTTTACCTGTCAAAGGCATGCTAAATGCAATAAATACGACTTTACTGACGACTTTACTTGTTAAAGGTATGTTAAATGTAAAAAATACGACTTTACTGATGTATTTACCTGTTAAAACTGATGGTATCCGGTGTGCCCCATTGTTCCGCCGGAAAATCAATGTTTTCCGATGAAGCCTTTCGTTTGGATCTCGAGATAGTTGAGTCCCCAAATAGAATATTTCGATGGGGTCATCAAATGGTATCTGGCATCAATGGGCTTGTAACAGTTGGGGAATACAATTTCATTTTGGTGGATCCATTGTTTGGCATATACATGCATGCTCTTTTCCCTCGATACTCCTGGTATAATAGGAGATGCTCTGTGATGACTCGTTTCATTGGCGATGGCTTTGGTCAATCATGTGAAGCATCACCGGTGGCCAAAACTTATCCCCCCTGGGTAATACCCCCAAAATGAGTGACAAAAGCGTGACAGGTAAAGGTGTCAGTAAAGTCGTCAGTAAAGTCGTCGGTAAAGTCATTAAAAATCGTCTGTAAAGTCGTCCGAGTTCCCTTCAAACGACTTTCCCTCCACCAAAATATTGACATTACCCAGCAAAATGAAATCCATTCCCGACGACTTTACTGAATATTATTGAATATTTTCAGGTACATATTTCCACAGCGCCTAGAGGCATCTGAATAGGTCGGGAGGAAAACTGGCGCGGAGATCTACATACCCTCGCTGTAAAGAGCGGTGTCCGGGAAGACCCTGAAATACGACCTTACGTTATATATATATGGTAAGCTTAAGAAGTATTGGTATGATGCCTTCCTTCCTCGTCCTGTTAATTGGTATAATCTTGTAGATAAACGAGTCGACACCTAGCTGGCCAAAACGCTCCGGAGTTTAGTCACAGGATCTCACTCATTCTTTCTAACCGCTAATACTATTGTAGCTTCCGAGAGGACACGTGTAGGAAGCAGTCCTACAAGTCTTGTCATTGTATATCTAGATCTACAGCAGCGTTCCGATACAATAACACCCAGGGTTAGATTATATAGAGTAAATCGAACAATTACTCTGCGGTGATATAGCCCAGTACCCTTGTGCTCCTTCCACCCATCCATAATCGATCCTATATATATTTACGCAATCGACTCTTGAATATACAAGGGAAAAGGCCTTACGTACCTAAATAATCATACATTAATATTTCAAGTCTTAGCCTGCCCCATTCACACCTCGAAAACCTTCGGCAGTTGAATGTTGCCATTTCATCGGGTATTTAATTACATAAGCTATAGTAACACCAGATATCACTCCAACCTCTCTGGCACCCTCGATCTTGTTTTCAGATCTAGAACTTACCCCTGCCTCCACCCATTCCTATGTCAATTCTCTTTTCGTCCCCACCTCCGCCGTGTATATTTCATGACGCTGGAACTAGCGGCCTGCAAACGACTAATCGTCGTTGCTGGTAACGACAATACCTCTTGTGGGTTATCTTATCATCTCATTATAACCAATGGGGCGTGAAAATTACCTCATATAATATGAATACTCACAAGGTGTCTGAAATACTATCCACCCAGAATTATGCCAGCAAAGGCGCATCTTACGATCATTATCATGAAGATCCAAACAAATAGCTGTTTCGATAACCTTAATCATGCAATTGCCTTAATATTAATGTAACTGCTCTACTACGGTAGACGATTCATCAGCAAGTCTGCATCTCCATAGTAATATGGATGAGAAAGGCATCAATCAATGAATTACTGCATGCATAACTCGCCTATGAAAGAGCTTAGTGTGTACACCTTGCGTATATAGATATAGCTCTTTAAAGAAGGTTTTCAAACTCTTTTCTAGTGTTCGGCTTCGAGACTCCAAATCTCGGATCGGAGATATGAAACACCATGATTGGTAGAGTTATATATAAACTCTTCCACCCATCCCTCACCCGGATCGACAAAGAAAGAAATTTAAATAAGGAAATAAACCAAGTCAGATATACAGTGTGTCCACGGAAGGCCTGACGAACCCCCTTTTTGGATTATTTACGCAACCTCGAGAACCGCAATTTAACTATTTTTCACTCCTGCTTTTTCCGAGCTCCGTCATAAATCTGCTTGAAGGTGGGGAATAGCTACATATTCAGGTGAAGTCAAGAGCGATCGCTACTCTATTATAATTATTCTTTTGCATTTTTGAATGAAGACACGCAGATATTCTTGGTTGAAATCGTGCGTCGAAGTTTTAATTCGCTCAAGTCAAGAATGATTGGTTATATGCATGTGTTGATAGAGTCGATCAAATCAATCGATGCGCCCGGCATTGAACGTGCACCCTTATAATAAATATTCAAACCTACCGGGACGCGCCTCGATTCTATAACGTCAAGGTGTTGTTCACACAGCCCTAACCCTGCTGCGAGACATGTCAACCATGAGCGTGCATCCGGCTCGGTCCGGTGCGGAACGGCGATCTTCTGCCACTACCCCTGTAAGCCTGGAGATTTAGAGTGTGTTGCACAGGCTACAGTTGCAATTGAGGACTACCTAATGCAGGTACGTGCTCTAAGGTTCTATGCTAGAGTTAAATTAGTGTACTCGATCAGTCAGGTGTATAATCCCTTAGTGAGTTGGTACTTGTGCAGACACTAGCACTCTGCTAAGAGGGGGCATACAGTATACTGAATCTCGGTTGTCGGGGATCTCTTCAGCGGCTTTGATCTCATGTATCTACATTTCCTCGTGAAAAGTGTTGAGTTTCCACCGGCAAACTCACTAGGTTTCAGTCCTTCGAGGAAAGGTGACTTAGCTTTTCCGGAATAGCAAGTCCTGGAATATAAAGGTCTAGCCATCAGTGGAAGCAGAAATCAGTTTGGCAGCTTGACTGCTTCTTACTATAGTGCTTCTTCTTTCACTTCGCCCATTCCATTATTCATTGACCGTTTCCTCTTGAACCTCACGCGCGCCCGAGTGATTAATGTAGCCCACAAAGTTTGGATATAGACTAGCTTGCCCATCAGCGAGCGTTGCCCGCTATTCTGCCAGTTACCATGAGAATGCAACGATTGCTACCCACCAAATTTTGGGTGGATGCTCGCTGATGGGCTGGTTGGTTGGCGGTAGTTCGCGATCGGTTTTTCTTACAAATAGCTGTGCCAAGCCTACTTGTGGGCCAACCAGTAGCAACAAGCTTCATCAGCAGCGCACATAGTAGCCAGAGAAAAATAAACTGCAAAGATCACCAGCGTAGACAAGCACGTCTACTGTCAACACGCTCACCCCTACCTCCGTAGAACATATGTGCCAGGGATAGATCCTTAGTAATTACTTTATCATAATTTTAGTCATCGCTTCAACCCCTACACTAACCTATCAACCTTACCGCGATTAGTTTTTGAGCCAAATATATGATTACATCTCGAGCAGTATTCCAGTAGATACTTGGTAAATACGAGATGATATATCGATACTGAACCTGGATGCGGAGAAGAGCTATGCCCCCACTCCTCGGGAACTTGTTTCGTTCCGTACTCTCTTAAACCAATAGGATCACCGGATCTACAGAGCACATAATTTACTAAACGGTAGTCAGCCAGCTTCATTTGAACAAGGATTTTATAAGTCGCAAGTGTGCACTTGCTGATACCACTGAGAACATACTGAACCTCTTCATATCGCTCTTGGTAACAGGGTGTGAGGTCCGCGGAATAGCCGGTAAGACCCTAGCAATAGTATTATCACAAGTCGTTAGACAGCTTTCAAATTAGATATCATCCGTGGTCCTTCATCAATATGATAATGGTTATTACGGCCTTCGAGGAAAGCGCATATATATATACCCTATTTTTCATATATCGAACGATTTGTTTATTGCGAAAATATTGGATATTCGATATCCGTGCTTCAATCAAAACAGCTCGGGAGTTTACTACTGTATTTGGCAATATATATATACAGCTCATCGACACACCCGAGGGTTTTCAACATCTCTGTATTTGGTAATTAAACGCTGGAAGATTTCTAGCGATGTATTGGCCTATAATGTTGCAGTATTGTCGATCCTTTCATATAACTGTGCACTTTCTTTGGTGTGGGGGAAGCTTATGTTTTTTGGTTCATTGGTCATCACTCTCCACTCCGCCACATGTGCACATTTGATTAATTATGATCCAGCTACCAGTGAATTTATAGACTGCTAAAGCACAGAATAGTAATTCTCCTTATCTGACCGAGTCCTAGCGGGTCCTCATGTCTACTCAGTCTTCGAGCTCCTGTAATGTGCAGTTTCCACGACATCTAACGCAGTCAGATGCTTGTATGAACAGCATATATGCGTTGCTCGGTATATATTGTGCAGAAGGTATGTCATTCCGCCACAGTACCCTGCTAGAGACTATTCACGGCGCAATCTCTGCGGCGCGGCGACGGCACGTCCGGATCGAAGGGTACATGTAGTACATGGATATTGTGAATGAGTGAAATTCATGATTGGTATCTGCAGATATACTGGGATTCTCTTCACTCCTCATTTACGAATAGAGGAATCAATGTAGCAGATCTTAATAACAACGTACACAGTCATTCTGCATATCATCCTATCCTACCAATAATTCCTTGTGCCGTCAGTGTTAATTTCTGATGACAGAACACCCCCATCTCATCTTCTATAGGCTTTCATCCAAATCCCATATGTATTTAAACTCCCTCATTCCCCCTCGATTTTCAATTCATTCCACAGTACTCTATCTTCCTCCAGCAATACAACAAGAAACTCAATCTCCATACCCTTCTCGACGCTTTAATCCTTCCAACAAATTAACCACCTACTACAATAACTATGGTTTCCTTCAGCACCCTCATCCTTCTCCCTACCCTCTTCCTCGGCTCGTAAGAATCCCTCTATTTCCTGGCACTAGTTTCTTCGCAACAACTAACCCACTCAACAGTGCCCTCGCAGGAATGAACTGTAAGTGCCAAGACGACCGCGGCCAGTTCAACGAGGCCACCAGGACCTGCTGCGGCCGGCAAAGTAACCCCCTTACTTACTTCCCTGGACCAAACAACCAGGTAACATGTTTTCTTCCCCTATGTTCGGGGCGGTCTCGCTGATGAAGAGTACCTAGTGCGCCAACCCTGCAAACGGGATTGATAGCGGTGCTTTTGAGAGTTGCTGTAAATCGTTGGGTGTCGGTGCTGCCTACTGCTGGGTTTAGAGGGATGTGAGGCGTGGTTGATTTATATCTTAGTTAGGAGGCGGTGGGGGTTGCCTTATATGTGGGGAAAGTGAGAAGGGACTTGTAACAGTGATAGTTGTATGCTACAATATATGCTCTTTTGTTCTTGAACTCTGGCCATAACCCCAGTCTAGTAAGTGTTGAAAATGCCAGCTCATGAACTGAAAATGTTTTCTACCGACTTTGGGGTACAAGCAGTTGAGAAGTTACCAATTCGACAATGTAAACATCATACTATACGGAAAAATACAACATTTCTAAGCTCATGTAATGTAAGGTAAGCTATAGAGCATGCAGGCTTCAATATGAGACTTGCATCACTTGCTACATATACGGTACAGCTAGATATATCCGGATTATAGAGTATTCTTGCTCTACTGTAGTAGAAATGTATCATGTAACGTATATCTCTCTAGTACTATGAATTAATTAAAACCGTTTTGACATCTTTTTGAGGGCTCCCAATACTTTCCAAGAAGACTTAGTATTTACTCGGAGTGCACATTATCACCATTTTCTAGTACCTGTACATTTACGGTGTCTTTCTAAACACAGTACAGAGAATTTTCAAGACATTACCTGACCGATGACGTTCCAACACTTGAAGTTTCAGAAGTGGGTTGATAGTAAAGAGTGAATAGTAGTGTGGTCGACGAGTCGAGTTGGCTCGAGCTATATCGATGGCTCGACTTGAGATAGCTTGAGAGCTTGAGATCTTTCCCACGAGAACGAGCCCAACCTTCTACGAGACAAGTTGGCTCGAGCTATGGGCAAGGCTCAACCTGAGCCGACTCGTCGACCATACTAGTGAATAGTCGCCTCTAATGCAATACTAGCGATGGGAACAATAAAAATAAGCTGATCCTAGAGTTGGTCAAATAAATAAGATACACATTGAAAGCCGCATTAAATAAAATCACATTAAAGATACCTCTCTGGGCAACTTTCCAACGCAACAGAGAGAAAGGGAGAAAGCGATGCACTCACAGAATAGAATCCTTCCAACTTACATCTTTTTCTGACCAGGAGATTGTGAAGCGGATGAAGAGACTAAGGTTAAGACAGAGATACAAGAACAGAGTGTACCCGGCCGTGTAAGATATTCAAAGATGGGGGAAAAGGTTTAAGTTATACCTATACAGTTATTTAAACCGTCATGTTCTGTAACTGTCTGGCCGTGGAACAGTCGGTATGTCTCTGCGGCCTAACAAAAAGAAATGAACGATACGGACATACGAGTGATACCTTATGATGCCGGTCTGAAACCCTAACCCTTGGTTTCAATAAGTGCAGCATTTCTCAGTCTCGACAATTTAAATGCCTACGCGATTGTTTGAAGTGACATATATCCCTTTTCTGTTCTGAGGTTCTGCTGTGATTACTGGCTCACCATAACAAACTTCAAGGTGAGCTAGGTCAACCACATATAATGAATGGATGTTGATATCGATATATGATCAGAACCCTAACAGCAACAATGGGAATCTCAAAATGACATCACAATTTTACAAGCTACATATGTAGATATTCGAAACTGGACCTTTGCAAACATACCCCCAAATATCAAAAAATTCAAAAAGAAAAAGTAGGCACATCCTTAGGATGAATAAGAGTTGAAAATACTCGAATCTCTAGGCAGATTTTTCCCGGATCACCACACATTTACTACCTGTACCTACATTCTACGGGCCGGAAAAGCTGTGAGTAGCGGTCGAGGATAGTGATGGGCACGAGACAAGACGAGACCATATTTACGCTGTTTTTGTCTCGTCTTGTGTTTAGGAGTAGTAGGTCTTGTCTTGTCTCGGGACTTTCTACAAAGTCTCGATACAAAGTCTCGAGACGTCTCGAGACTTTGGGAAAAATCCCAAACGTAGGAAATAGTTGAAAATAATCCAACACCTAAACCATATTTTCTGATATTGGTCCAACTGTATGTGCTAATTATAATCTTGTAGAAGAAATATTTTTGTTCAAAAGGTATCCCATGGACCGTAACTGGTTTTGCACAGAATTCCGTGCAAATTTTAGTATGCTTTGATTCGTTGCACCTTAAGTACAGTCACATGTAAATTGAATACAATTGTATGATCATATCTACAGGTCTCAAGGAATATAGAAATAACTTTCTAATGTAGGTGTGACTTCTTGATCTGGAGCTCTGGTCGAATATATCGCAAATCTCATGAGTTTACACTCGAAAATTGCAAAATGTGGTAGCCTAGATACTTATCCACTTTATCTATATGGATTCTGACATTTTTTTATTACCAGATTATGTATAATAAATGATCCCCAGCTTATTTCGATTTCTTTCGATTTTATTGGTTCCAGTATAAATAAAAGATATCAAAAATTCGCGGTTTTGGGGTCTGTTGCCATGTTCTGAGATATTTATCTGCCGGTAAATCATGTCATCCTGTATATTTTACATCCATTTCTACGCATTTACCATAATGCAAATTCATGAATAAATGCAACAAAAATGCAATCTCAAGTGCAAAAGAGTCTCTATTATCGGGCAAGAATCTTCTTCCACAAGCTTGAGGGGGCACAAGGGAATTGATTTAGAGCTACAGCAGCTCGGGTAATTGATGTGACAAATTTGCACGAGATTTCGTGCAAAATCGCTGAGTTACGGTCCATGGGATTATCCCTCCGAAACCTTTCCAAAAGGTCCAAAATAGTCTCGCGAGACGTCTCGAGACCAACCCATAATAGCCTCGAGATAATTGCGAGACTATTTTCATTGGTCTTATCTTGTCTCGTTCGAAACGCTCGAGACCTAGTCTCGAGACCTCAAGTCTCGTGCCCATCACTAGTCGAGGACCGATTAGTAGATTAAAAAATGGTTTGGGTCTCCATTGAATCCAAGTCGACAGTTTGAAGCTACGGAGAAACCTATCATAATTCGACCCTCTCAAATTCCATCCCTAAGAAACTTCCAGCGTTCGGGGGAACGAAACCAGAGTTCTGTAATAACTCTCTCTGAATTCCATCTCTACGATAATTACAGCAAAATTCGGCCACAGCGGGGGTGGAATTATGGTAGGTTTTACTATAGAGAAGAAGCTTGTGCTCACATGATGCGATATAGATATTCTAGTCTCGGGCGACGAGTGCGATTCCTGGTGGATCGTGTTACTATATGAAGAAGTTCAAAACTTATATAGAGAAAGAGGTCACTGGTTATTGCAGTTTCCGCCTGCCTCGATTGAACAGCTAACGTAGGAAAAAGGATCTGCCTTCCTAAACTGCTTTTTCACAAATTCTTACTCTTACCAATTACTCTTACAGGGGAAACGAAGAGGGCAGTTGAATAAGCAGGGGAGGTTTCTGTGGGGGAACGAAGCTTAACTTATCCCCAATAAAGGCACGAGATGGAGGCTTAATAGGGACGTTACATATATCTGGGTATTTTGATTTCTATCTTGGTACTTATGATTGAGAGATTGAGCCGCACTCGGCTGGCTGCCCAAGTGATACTAAGTGACGATTTATTTCTCCAAGCAGTTGAGAATATCTAGGCTCAAGTCGAGATTACAAAGATGCGGTGACCGTTCCCCCCCCCCCAAACCTTGTGAGTAGTTGTCGTACTAGAAGAGGTTTGTCCAGTTACAGGGCCGCCGCATGTTCTCATTATGATAGGTAGCTTAAATTGCGGTTATCAGTCTGAGAAGAGCGAGAGTTCTCCTCCTCTTCTCATCATTCAATACAAGTACGTACTACGCGTTATAATAGTTTGCCTTATCCCCCGATTAATATAATGCCAAGAGCTAACCTCTGTATGTGGCTTAGTCTGAATTGTAATGGGAGGCTCAAATTGCCAACGAATGTCAAGAATAATACATAGTTGAACTAGCGCCGTAATTAACGCAATCATGAGGTATTGACAATCACACGTCAGTGCCAAATGGCGCCCACTGGTACAGGGAACCTTGATATTTCCGCGGAGCCAACTTCAGGCCGTCTCAATGACCTCAAAACATTCCTTATATGTATAATTATAATAGGCTCTATACGTATGGATGAAAGAACATTGAATGATTTTGTTGGGTATGAGCCAGTCTAGATAGCTGATCATTACGGGGTGAAAAAGTGGGATTATCTGAAGAAGATCTCGGCAAAGATTATAATACGTGTAAGGAAACGCCCTAAAGCTCCTTTCGCTGACTGTACTCACATATCAAGTATGTATTTGCGCAACCAGCAAAACACACAGAACCTCGAGAGCTTTCCCATCTCCCCTGAAATTATGCATCTTTTATCTAGACACCTGAAAGACTCTACAGGCCACTTTAGATCATATCCATAAAGAACGAGGCGAAGGGTGTCTTAAAAGTCCTTTTATTGCTTTCCTCTCCACCTTTACCAGTATCTCAATTAGACCAAGAATTTGAAGTATGAATCTCCCTTATCGAAATTATACTATACTTGGTCGTTGCAGTTTTGGTATAACTATGGGAACTTTTATAAGTTGTTGAAAACCTCGATTTTTGGTGTGTTTTGCTGGTTGGGTAAATACATACTTGACAAGCGAGTACGCATCTAGGGAATAGGCGATAGGCGGTAGGTGATCTGTCATAACGGCTATCAAATCTTCAACTAGCTTAAACGAAACGTAGGAGACCGATTGGTCAAATAATTCCGTAGTGCGTTTCAACGATAGGTCTAGACATTATCATAACCCCCGAGTGAAATGGGGCGAGAACGTTCTGGGCCGGTGCATGAGTTCTCGGGGCTTTCCACGCGCTTATGGATAGATGCTCATTCGGAGCTGACCATTAACCAAGCAGGCAACCAGGAGATCGACAACCCGCCATCTTTCATGTAATTAGACTAAACTACATAGTAACCAATGGTCTTATATGGTTAATTGCGGGGGCCTCTAGCGTGTATGTATGGGCCTCCAGGACGCGCAACCGGGTCTATTTTCTTACGAAAGCAAGCGTGGGGCGGAAGCTAACTCCTAGCTCATA